GAAAACCTCCCCGCTTCTTTCACAAAGAAAGAATTTTCCTTCAAATTGTTCTTTAAAAAACACTCCTTCCAATCCAAGGAAGTGTGAGAGGTTCAAGCCTGGTACATCTCACTGATCAGTTTTAACTGTTTAATAAAATCAAGAAGCCTATCCAACAGCATCCTTTCAATTTAGCCTTGCAAAGAAAACAATGGCAATCTACACAGCAGACTGAAAGATACAAAACGCAATCCAAAGGTTAATGTGTGCATAGTGGGCTTTATCACTCCGGCATTTAGAAATTGATCTTGTAACAATAGCTACCATGTTTGTAGGCACTGTGAAAACTAAATGCATTATATAAAAACTACCTGTCCTATCAGGTGAGCTTTGTTCTTATTTGACAAGGAAATTAAGGAAAATATCCAGAATGACACAGCGCTAGATGCTTTCTGTTCTGTCATTGATTTCTATGGGAGTAGGCCAGATCTAAGCAATTACAACACTACCGAGTAATTTGCCCCAAACCATGTGTGGAGATGGTGTCAGTAGAAGAACTGAGATTAAAACTTCCAAGTGCCAGACTTTGGTTAGCTGTCCTTTATTCTGGGAATTGTAGAGTTTTAGAATCATAGAAAAGTAGGACAGGAAGTGACTTCAGGGGATCATCTAATCCAAACCTTGCTCAAGGCAGGGTCATCCTATCTAAACCATGCTAGACAGATGTTTGTCTAACTTGTTCTTAAAACTCTGGGAACAAACCTCGTGCACAACTAGCAGTCAAAATACATTAATAATACCCTTTAATGGCCACAGGTAAAGCAGGAGGATGAGGTCACTGTCAGTGTCCTGCCACTGCAAGCACAGCAAGTAGCTTTAAAAAATATGCTCAAGAGATGACCAGAATGGAATCTAACTTAGCACATCAGCAACTGTCAACCATTGGGAAATGCTGAGTAGGGAACATGCTTTGTAGTACTACTTGAAGTTTCTTTATAGAAGGGCCATTGTGCTCCCACTATCTGCTTCAAAGGTTTTTCACTAGAAAGGATACCCATATGAAATCTTGCTCCTCCAGTGGAGCTATGGAGCACTTCTGAGTGTACTGACTGGCCAAGAAGCTTGGTGTTAGGTCTGTACTATGCCTTGCTTCTTACAAGTGCTCTGAGGAGATATTTGAGTTACTTGGGAACTGTGCCTTCTGTATAGCATTGGCATATTCATATGGTTGGAAGGGACATTAAGGGTCATCTAGTCTAAAGCCCCTAAACAGATGCAGGACTAGCTGTTACTAAGCTGTTCTAGACAGAGAGCATATAGGGCTTTTCTTGGAAGCTTTTATATAAAGGAAAAATCTGCAACTTCCCTGGGCAACTTGTTCCATTGCCCTATTGTTCTTACAAGTTAAGAAGATTCTGCTTTAGAACCATTTAAAAACACTTCTTTAACTTCAAGCAATTTCTGATGTTTCTTTTTCTCAGCAGGTTTGAGACAATTTGAGAAAGAACCATAAGAGGCTACTAAAGATGCTGGACCAACTCAGTTGAAAAAAAAAAGTGCTAAATTGTGCTTTTTATATTTATGTTTATTTACCAAATGTTTTTTTTTTGCATTATCCCAGTTAAAACCATGTATATTAGCACTGTATTTAATAATCAGTCTAGACATTCATCATAATAGTACTGCCTTTGCACAAGAGCCTTTATTCCTAAAGAAACCCATGCTGTGAAATATATCGACATTTCTACTGATAGAACTAATTATGTATCTGAACAGCAATTCCAACTGACATGAGAGATCAACTCAAAACTGCATGTACAAATTGAGTTGCATGAAAAAAGTTGTGCAGTGAACCTATAAAAACAGTGGTTACTTTTGGAATACAGAAGTCTTTCTTTCTGCACTTTAAGGCATGGAAGAAGTATCTTTAGTTGACAATGTAATATTTTCTGTAAGTTGCCCATGTCATGAAAAATACTGCATCAATAACTTGTTGAAATTTTGTTTTATACTTTTTTAAAGTATCAATTTTTCCATTCTAGTTTAAGTTAATACCTAAATTTGGATGATTATGTTAGCTGACAGCGGTACTGATACTTTATTTTTTTTTTGTTAGTGACTAGTAATTGACTGCAATTTAGAACATATACACACATAGCTTTACAAAGTTTAGCTTTAAGGCACTACTAATGGTAGAATGCTTTAATACATGTAGAGTATTATATTTAGTAATAAACATACATAATTAGCCAATATCACAGCTTTTTTTAAAAAATAAAAATGAAACCACACACTTTTCTATAGTAAGATTTCATAAATGCCATTAGTGGAATGGTGAGATAAGTATTAATTTTTTTTAAATGTCAGAAGCCCAATAATGGGTAATTAAAAAAGAAAGTTATAGTTTTAAGAGCAAAAAAAATAAGGATATAGAGGGTCAAAAATAAGTCACTTGTATAAAACACTGTAGTTTAATTTATATAAAAACTACCATAAAAAAACTAAACACAGTTGGGGCTTGTTTCAAATTACTGTACACTAAATCTTGCCATTCATCAGTGCCGTATACTAGATACACTCAAGTACTCAAACTGAACACACTTCTCTCTTACAGTGTTCTTATTTTTTAAACTCTATCCCAAATACTTTATTTGTATATAGTAAACACAAGGCTATAAGAAGTCAGCTTGGTTTGAATTTATGTGACATAAGGTTTATCATTTACATCTGACAGTGTATGAGTGGAACAAACAAGGCAATTAGAGTAGCTATAAATGCATTCATAAGAGCTTTCTTGTGCATTTTCACTGTGTCATCTTTTGTAGCAACTGATTTACTTTTTTTTAAAGGAGGGGAAAATGTATTTCAGTCCAAAGATGAGCTCCTCTGCTTAGCTGAAACATCTTGTTTACATATAGAGCTGCATTTAGCTACCTGTAGGGAGTGAAACTGTGCAAAGAGTGCCTGGCTTTGTCTATGAATTGTCTTTTTGTTTTGGGTTATTGTACACACTCTCTGAATCTTTCAAATACATTCGATAGCTGCAATAAAAAGATTTGTTCAACCATTGTATTCTGAAGCTGCATCCACAATAAATGGAGTATTTCCATTAACACTCCCTGTTTAATGATTTGGAATGCACCGTTTGTAACTGGAAAAATGTTAATAGTAATGTCAAAGAATGCATTGCAGACTGAAGTTCAAAGAATATAGGCTGTTTGTAGACATGTTCAGTGTTTTCTAAGCCGTGTTAACAGATTCACATCACACAGCTCAAATCAAATTTCAACTTGAATTAAGGTTTAGCAGATGATCATTGACAGCCCCTTAACACACTCAGCTCTTGGCCTAGGTGTGTGAGTTTATGCTGTGGGAAGTAATTAGGAGGCAATAATAAGCCTGTGTAACTAATGCTACATTGTTGCAGTTGTCTAAAATGCCATGCAACTGACCTGATACTTAGTCACTGTGGCCCATTCATACAAGTGGGCATGTTTGTTTCCCCTGGGGACAACAAGCAGTGGCACACCTTGTGCAGCTGCTGGTTGTCCCCAGGGAACACCTGTGCCATGCACCAGGTTACTCCGGGCGGGGTAAGAGAGCCTGGGGCTTGCACTGGGCTGGCCCCAGAAGCCTTACCTGGGGTTCTGGGGTCCTCCTGAGACTGCAGCAGTGGTGATCCTGCCACTCAGAGCCTGACTTTTCCTGTAGTGTGGCGCTGGCTGGCCAGGCTCCAGTTCTGAGTGGCGTGTGCTGCCCTCGCACATGCTGCTTTGCTTTTTTTATATTTGCGTGCAGGCTTTTTTGACCCCTGGATATCCAGGGGTTAAACCCACCCCTGCCCCCCATGCTGCTCCCTTGCAGCTCGGAGAACAGCTGAATGTGCGGTACGCAGTGCCGCAGATGTGTCTGCTGTGCCACATTCTGGAAGCAGCCTGTGAGGTGTCGTTGGTACATATGACTTTATAAAAGGTGTTAATTTGTGCCTGATAGGCTCTGTTGTGTTGGAAAAACCCAACTGAGTTTCCCTTGAGTGGAATGATATTTGAAATACCTATCTGCTTATCTGAGTTCCTAAGGAGTGTTTTTTCTAAAAACCTCATCATATATACGTGTTTAATACAGTTTAACTTGCCTAATTTGGACTGCCCTAGTCTTCATTACTTTAATTCTCATTCAATGAGGATTAGTTAGTTCAGACTGGAGCCAATTTTAATTCAGACTACAGGTGTCCATGTGTATATAGTGACAGTTGTAGCCCAAATTAAACCTAGAAAAATGTAATGTCTATAGATGCCCTATAGTGTCTGTCATGGTGCCAATATACTATCCTGTACTTGCAATGGAAGTGTTAGTATGTGGCTTTAGCCTTTGTAAGGGTGACTGGTTCTCTTATTCTGCTCTACGATTCAACCTGTTAAATTCAGTAAGTTCTGTTTTATTGGCGCAGTCTTTTGTGAACCTAATTTGACGAGCATTTTCTGTATAGCACTTGTGGTATTTCTTCTTCCTGCCAAAAAAGTTAGGTGCATGTCTTCAAAGTCATAATGCTTGGATGATTGCATAATGAAGCCTTAGGGAAATAAAGAACCAGCTACAGATGTCCTTCCCTCCCCAAAGCTGCTCTTCCACATAGGGTTTGGAGTGTGTCTGGTGGTCCCATCAAATCAGGTAAAAAAAACAAAAACAAAAAAACACAGGTACTCTCCTGGAGAAACTTGACCTAAGGAAACACTAGTAATGGTGGGGTTTGTGAATGGGGCAGACTTCTGTCTTTTATGTTATTAAGGCTGGGGGGTAGAAGAATTAACCCCTTAAGGGACTAAAAGGCAATGTTCTACGTAATGCTATGCAGGGTTGTGTGCTGTCTAATGTGTGCAATAATCCTAGATTGCTGGTGATTGTTAATAAGGTTTTCCATATGGTGTGTGGGAAATCCAGGGCACAGAGTATGGCATAGGCATAGTTGAAGACAACGTTGAGCAGCGTAGACATACCATTCAGTTAAGAAGATATAATGCAGCTTTTTAGAAGGCACCACCTAAGACACAGTCTGCATCTAGAAAGCCAGGTAGAAAGGAAACAGATTGGCACCAGACATATACCTTGCTGGTATATGAAGGTTCTGAATGGAAGATGTGCTTAAAGAGCCACTAATTGGAGGGAGCTGTAAATTAACCATCGAAGTGAAGCAGTGGCTGGCCACTGGAGGGTCTGGAGGAGGAGCTGCTAGTGGTTAGTGGCCAGAAGTCATCCCTCTGTCCCTCCTTACTTCCATTACCCCTCCCACAGACAGGGGCCTACTTCTCCCTAAAACACTTCTCTGGATGCAGCACTTCATTTTCCTAAAGTACCCTTGTCTTTGTCAATCCTGTAACTCAAATTATAGGGGCTAAAGTTTGAGGGTTCAAACCCTGGTAATTTGTGAGGATGAGATGATTGCTATAAATGTTCAGTCTTATTTTTAGTATTATTTTTCTTTTTCAGTACACCCAGCAAGTCACAACTCCTTTAACACAGCATGGTTTGGAAAACTGAAACATTCATTTTACTGTCCATGCTAATGCAACCTTAATATAACCCCTTTTGTGTATATGTTGGCCTTTATGTAATCATATTTTTTTTTTCCAGAAGGCATTTACCTTGTCAAGGCACACAAGGCATTTATCATTTCTTCTTTCAAGTGACTAAGTCTTCAGTTTAAGTAGGGTTGGAGTGTTGTTGTAACCATGATGGCCAAGGAAATATATCAGAAGTTGTTTTGGTGATATCTTTCATTAGACAAACCATACAGTTGGGAGAGATGTTAGACAAGTTTTTGGGCTTGAAAACCAAACCTGAAGAAGGGCACTAGACCCAAAAATTTACCTAACCTGTCTCCCAATTATACAGTTGGTCCAATAAAAATATCACTAAAACCTCAGTTATTTTTGCAATTTAAATAATGTGCTTTGCAAAGCTTAACAGTGATCCTCTTACTGAAGTTTCTAGTACCTAGTGCTACCTCAAGAAATAGCAAGCTGAAGGGAGATTTAATGGCAGATTCAGAGGCACTGGACTGCTTCATATTTTAAATACTATATTTACTTGACTGCCCTAATAATTAGATTCTATATATGGAAAATTTATAAATTTGATATAATTTTCTAGGTATAGAATCTAACTATTGGACATTTGTGTTGAATTTGGTTCTGTCTCACTGCTACAGAAGGGAAAATAAATCTGGGGGTCAGGTAGCCCCTTTGCCCTCTGCACCCCAACTTCTTCCCACTACAGCCCCTACCCCCCCTTCCTTACCATTGGACCCCTGCTTTCCCTGAGCAAATGGAAGGAACATATTTGAAAAAAACTGACCTTGAAATAAACATAGCTGTAGTAAATTTTATAGACTACCCGCATACTTAGTTCATCCAGAATTGATGCATTTTACCTTTTTTGAAACTGCTGCAAAATTTAGCATAGGTACTCCATAAACACATTTTCACATAGGACTTTGGTACTTACTTATATATAGTATATACTATGCATGATATTAATCCAAAGCCAAAAGGTTCATAATATAGCTTGTTGGCTGGGACCCAGCAGAGTCAACAGCATTTTAAGTCATGATGATCCTGCAGCTCATCACAACTCATTGTGTGAGTCAGTGCTAAGGGGGACTGCACTCAGTGGGCAAAACTATGTGTTTTATTATTCAGATGAACTGTACTAATCTATCCTTGTTTGTCCAATATAGGCCATGCACTTTATAATTATGCACAATGTTGTCTGCTTTTAATCAGCTTCATATTTGGTTTCCACTATTGAGCACATGCTGCTTTCATCAGCTGTTCAAAAATAGGTCATGTATTTAATGCAGTTTCCTTGTATAAAATGAAGGGTTTGATTTCCTTACATTGATTCGGTGAAAAATCTCATCTTGTATTTGACTAGATATTGCCACCATCATATCTCAGACAGTGAATAAGAACTGATATAAAGCTCAGTTTTTACTCAAACTGGAAATTAACTGAAACCTGAGAACAGGCACTTTCTACTGCCAATCCTAGGAAAGACAATACTATGCTAGTATTTTTAACTTCCCTTATTTTAGGCCAAACTGAGTTGGGATGGATTGTACCCCCAGAAAGTTCACAAATGACACCAAGCGGGGGGGGGGGAAGAGTAGATATGCGGGGGGGTAGGTCTAAGATTCAGAGTGGCCAAGACAAATTGGAGGATTGGGCCAAAGGACTCTCATGAGGTTCAACAAGGACAAGTGCCAAGTCCTGCACTTAGGACTGAGCAATCCCATGTACAACTACAACCTGGGGACTGACTGGCTGGGCAGCAGCCCTGCAGAAAAGGATCTGGGGGTTACAGTGGACAATAAGCTGGATATGAGTCAGCAGTGTGCCCTTGCTGCCAAGAAAGCCAACAGCATACAGGGCTGCATTAGTAGGAGCTTTGCCAGCAGATTGAGGGAAGTAATTATTCCACTCTATTGCACTGGTGAGACCAGATCTAGAGTACTGCATCTAGTTTTGGGCCCCCCATTATAGAAAAGATGTGGGCAAATTGGAGAGAGTCCAGTGGAGAGCAACACAAATAGTTCAGGGGCTAGGGCACACGACTTCTGAGGAAAGGCTGGGGGAATTGAATTTATTTAGTCTGTAGAAGAGAAGACTGGGAGGGGATTTGATAGCAGCTCTTAATTACCTGAAGGGGGGTTTCAAAGAGGATGGAGCTAGACTTCTCAGTGCAGATGACAAAATAATGGTCTCAAGGCTGCAGCATGGGAGGTTTAGGTTGGATATTAGGAAAAATTTTCTCACTAGGAGGGTAGCGAAGCACTGGAACAAGTTACCTACAGAGGTGGTGGAATCTCTGTCCTTGGAGGTTTTTAAGGCCTAGCTTGACAAGGTTTTTAAGGCCTGGATGGGATGATTTAGTTTTTTTATTTTTAAGGCCTGTCTGGGATGATCTAGTTGATGATGGTCCTACTTTGAGCAGGGACTAGATGTGACCTCCTGAGGTCCCTCCCAACCCTAATTTTCTCTGATATGAAGAATTCTAAATCATTTATCTGACTATATGTCAATCTAATACAGGGGTGGGCAATTATTTCAGCTAGAGGGCCACTTAATCAGTTTTGGTGAGCTGTTGAGGGCTGCAAGGGTGGCCCTGTGCCTTGATGGGTGCCCTGCTCCCTGGTCACCATACTGGGACCTTTGCCACTAGAAATCCCTCCCCCTTGCTCCCAGAAGTACTGCTTTTGGGAGGGGGGAGGAAGGGAGTGGTGCAATCTTGGAACCAGAGACAAAACAAATGTTATGCTAAAAATCAAACATCTGCTATAACATTTTTTAATTTTATTTCAGAAAATATTTGTCTTGATTTACATTTGTTTGCATGGCGCATATAGAGGTGATTGTATAAAAAAGTTTTACTTTTGTACAGTGTGTGGGAGGTGTGTGTGGGGGAGAGGGGTTGTGTGTAGTGGGGTGTGCATGTGTGTGGGTGTGGAGTTTGTGGAGGGGTGTAGGGGGTGTAGTTGTGGGCATGTGGGGTTGAGTGGTGTGTGGGGGTGTGGCTCCCCCACATGCCCCCCCATGGTGCACATCCCCTGCCACCTGCAGTAGCAACAGCGAGTGGCCGGCCCTCAGGACACTTATGGTCTACACAGGTAGAACCCCCCAGTGGCGCACAGCTTCGGCCACTTCCAGAAGCTGCATGTGGCAGAAGGGAGCAGGGCCTGGCCACTCTCTCTCCATCATGCGAGGCTTCCCCCATCTCACATACAGTGCCTGGGACCTGGCCAGAGCTGTGTGCCACAAGAGGGGAGTCCCGCATGATGAAGCCAGCAGCCTGGCCCTGCTCCCTGCCACCATGTGCACATCCCAGGATTCCATCTGAGAAGCAGGGAGCAGAGCTGAGCTGGCCTGGCTCCATCCATGCAGGGATCCCCGCAGAGTCCTGGGATCTTTATATGACAGCAGAGAGTGGCAAAGGCTGCTGGCTTCATCGCGTAGGGCTTCTCCACAGTGGCATACAAGTCTTGGGAGCTGCATGTGAATCCCATGCAATGGAACCGAGTCAAACCAGGCTCTACACTCCCCCTGCCTTGCTGGGCACAGGTCTTGGGCTCCACACTTCCACCCAGGTGCAGCTTCTCCCCACCCCCCAGCACTTCCCTACCTGCTGCCTGGAGTGCCGCAACAGAGACACGAGGAGGAGCCAGGGGACCTAAGCAGTTCCCTCAGCAGCGGCAACAACAGGTCTGCTCAGAAGATGTGCGTGGCTGGAGCCAGGGCCGGGCTGTCCCCTACATGAGGTTGGGAATGCAGTGCGCTGCCCCAGCAGGAGTGGGCAAGCCCAAGCCTCATGTGAGTGCACCAAGGGCAGCTGTGGGGTAGGCAGAATACAATTAATTGGTGGGCACCCACCCACAGGCTGGATGAAATTACTTGACCGTATTTTTCCTGCCCCTACTCTAGTATTTTTTTGGACATATGGTTCTTGTTCCTGTTTACTTTCTGTAGATCCAGGGCATATTTCAAAGGCTGTTTTGACCAATGGCTCCAAGTTGTGTAATGACAATCACACTTCATGCCTAATACTACCGAAACAAATTCAGTCTTATTTTTTCATAAGGACTAGGTATGCAGATACCCAGGTGAATGCATGGGTTAATCACCAGTGGTGAGTGCCTGTCTCTACCCATATATGTTCAACTCATCTCAGTAAGGCAATATAGCCTACAATTCCTGTCACACCATGCATGTCCTCCTACCCTTCACCTCCCTGGATTTTTGTTTCAATTGGTAGATCTGATGCTCAAGATGGAAAGTACAAGTTGAAAAAAAATGCACAAGTATATGCACACACATGCATGCTCTCTCTCTCTCTCTCTCTCTCTCACACACACACACACACACACACACCCCTACCTGCCTTTTTGCCATAGAAATTAAAGATAAGAATCCATTTTCTGTGCCTCTAGGAAACATGAGTACAAACTTACTTTGGCTTGAATGTATACAAAAGACCAAGTCAAGAACAGGCTCCATAAAACAACTGAAGCACTGTGTTTAATACACTGAACTGTACAGCAATTATTCAAATACTTGTATTCTGAATTATTTAAGGACTCATACATTAGAGATTCACACTGTAATTACTTGACAGAGCACTCACAACTGCATGGAGAGTTATGAAGTTAATACAATGTCTATTGACACTTGGGCAGTGATATGTTGGTACCTCTCTCCTTTACCCCTCTGAATAACTAGTGACCTTAGTTATATAGCTCAGCTTCGACTTAGTCACACAAACAGATAAATAAATGGAATGAAAAAGAAGGAAATTATGTTATTTAGTTTTAGCCTAGAAATGATTCGTGCTAACCAGCTCGGCAATAGGCAACTCTAGCCCCTTTGGATGCATTCTGTTGAACTGCCTTTTCAACAATGCTCCCCCTCCCCCTCCTGAAAAAAACAACAACAACCCCCCCTAAAAACAAAAGATTTCTTCTGTCAAGTATCTAAGTTTGTTTAAAAAAATACCACAATGGGCAGAAAAGAAAAAAAGAACTACAGAAAAGAAGAGTCTTTCACTCTGGTATTTCTTCCGTGTTTGGCTACTACAGTTTCAGTAATCCGCTTTGAATGGGTAGTCCTTGTGATTGACAGCCCTAAGGGGAGAGAGAGAGCACGGAGAGGTTATTCTCAGTATTTGAATATATATGTATCTCTTAGAAGATGCAGGGTTTGAATAGTGCATAAGCAAATGTTAAGCAATTCCTGACTGTAGACACTGGGTGCATCTACATGAGACGCTGACTGTGCAGTAGCTTGTTCCTACTGCATAGTAGCATTGCATGGCAGGAAGTGTGACGCGATGCTACTGTGCAGTAGGAACGAGCAACTGTGCAGTCAGTGTCACCTAAAAGTCATTTAGCAAAGCTACTGCACAATCATTTAGTACTCGTTTATACAAGTACCAAATGACTGTGCAGTCAGCATTGTCATATAGACGCAACCAGTAGGGCCAATCTAGCTCCCCCCTTGGTAGGAATCTATGACTTAGAAACAGTCTCAAAAAAGAAACAACTAATGACTGTTAGGCAGAGGAAAAGAAACAACTAATGACTGTTAGGCAGACCATTAGGCCCTTCCACTTTTGAAGGCCAATAGCTTACCTGTTCTGGTATTTACTTATGGAATCTTTTCTCTTTTTTTTTTTTTGCACAATTCCCCAGGAACTGAAGAGGAATAGAATATAAGGGGCTATTATAAGGAGCTACAGCTGAGTCCATCTGCACATGCTTAAGATAAGCAGGCTAGAACAAGGAAGGCATGATTAACATGGCTCTAAATGCCACATATGCAAGCAATTGGATTTGGTCCCAAAAGGATTTCTGGCCTCACTCCTCCCACTCCATAACACAAAACTTGGTTTAAAAGACACATCACTGACATAGTTATTAGTTAGGACATTGAGCCAAAAAGTCCAATACCTCCTAAAGAGATGATCTGTAAAGGCTCACTTCCTGCTTAACTTCACTAGTCCAACAATTTAGCTTCCTACTCAATGTCCGAAATGTAAAACTCTACCTGCTCAGAAACCGCATACAGCTACAAGCAGCAGCAGTGCATAACTAACAGTTTTACTGTTTTATAGTGTAAGAAGGCAACACCTACGGGAGCACAGTAACAGCTCTCCAGTTCCTGTTGAAGCTGAGGATTGATTCCATCTCTTCTTGAGTCAGTTCAAAATCAAACACCTGAAAAAGACAGCATCCCATTCACTTAGTTTTTATTTGCTGAGTGTGCCTAACATAAAACCTAAAGTAAGGGAGTAACTGCCCTCAACAACAAAGCTGTTTAAATACTTAGTTGGATAGAATACCTGGCACTAAGATATCTGCAAGATAGAGGAGTTTATCATCTGTTTCTTCTCACGAAGTCCAGAAACTCTTCAGAGAATAATGTGTTTTATACTCCTGTGTTTCTTTGGCAGAGAATAAACCTCAAATGAGTTCTGGTAACTTCTGTAAGAAGCAAACTGCAAAGCAGACACCTTATATTCTAAGGGCAGATGAGCCTCCAAATTCCCTGAGTACATGCAATGGTTTCTGTAGGACTATGAGCAAGTAATTCTATATGGCAATGAAGGCTGCTTGTGTGATCATTCTCCCATCATCCTGTTTACGTTAGCAAGAGTCCTATTGGAGGTACGTCCGCATGTGAGGAAAAAGGAAGATTCACAATCAAACTATAATGCTCCTTAATAATATTATGCAAATATTTTTGTCTTTGGGCATCTAGGTCTACTTTAGATGGGGCCAGCATCTAGGTAGAGCAAGAAGTGCATCTGCTTCTGAAGCTGGGCCATTGGGCAGCCAAGAGGGGAAGAGATGCCAATTCAGTGGGGCAGATGGAAGAAAGCTTGCCTGTGAGGCTCAGGCCAGGAACCTTCCAGAGGAACATTAAACTTCCCTGAACTACAGAGGAAAGCTCCTTCAACCTTACCTTCCTTCTAGTCCCACACATCTTTTCCACTCTGGACTGCCCAACAGTTCAGTTTCCACAGTAGACCCAGTCGTTAGGGCACTCTGGCAGGAAAGAGGAGATGCAGCTTCAAACCGTCTCTGAAGAAGAGTGGTCTAGAACTTGGACCTTTCAATCTTTAGGCCAGTATCCTAATCATGAGGCTATTTGTCTGAAAGGTGAGAAGAATCGGCCTCCTCTCTGCCATTCCCCATGGGGATTATTTCTCTGCAACTACAACAGTTATGCACCTGCTTTAAAGAGTAGGATCTCAACTTCATGTAAGTGGTCAGAAATATCCCCCTTAAGCAACTCATTAGCCAGGTACATTCAACTTAAACCTTTTAAAGGAAGCGTTGGATTTGGGCCTTGGTGACAATGATAATCTTGTAGCAGCAAGCGCCATGTATTAATTTGTGCTCTGTGGAATAACTGTCTTAACTTGTTCTTAGGTCATGACCAAAGAGCTATAACTGACCTTTTCTGTATGGAATCATCATCATCACCTATTGCTCTAAGAGGCCTTATTCATCTCCTTGCTACATGGTCTTTTTTTCATCCAAACTGCCTCTTGTGCTTTTAAGTCTAATGCTAGGTGCACAGGGGCAGAATTCAGTCTTGGCTATCAAGAAGCTAGGAAACATGGTAGGAGGTGTGATGATACTAACTTGGTTTTCTCTTAGTTGAAAATTTAGGAAATAAAAGGTATACACACTTATTTTCATATGTAGCTATATATGCAGTACTTTTCCCCTTCCCCTTCCCTTCCCTCTAAAGTAGACTTCGGAATAATGAGAGAGTATGGACATGCAACATTCCAATTTGAAATGTTACCTTGAAGTTCTCCTCAATATGATGTGGTTTGTCCGACTTTGGAATGACAGCCACATTCCTCTGAATGTGAAATCGGATCAAAACCTGTGAACAAAGACCCAGAATGCTGCTGACACAGAAGCTATCAGTCATTACAGGGTTGGCTGTTCTTAACACATTTTTCAGGGCATTTACCATGTTTTACATTCAAATACACCAATCATGGTTGCAGAAAACCAGTTTGTTGTTCAGAAGGATCCACTTAATAGTTTGAGCAACAGATTCCATCCAGTAGGTGAAGTACACAGTTTGTAAACACACTTACTATTTACTATTTTGATACGTCATCATTTTCAATGCCAACAGGATAGTTTTTCTTTTAAATGCTGAGTGAAACTTCCGATTTATGTTACTCAGGAGTTAAGCTTATATAATCATGATGGCCTTAACATAATATCCAGTAAATATTCCCATTTGGAGCTGGTCAAAACATTTGAAAATCTTCAAACAAAAAGACGTGTGTGCGTGTTGGACAGTGAGAAATGGAGAAGGAGGGAGGAGATGAGACAGATTTTTCAGGATTGTTTTTTGGCAAAGATGTACCACTTTTCAATCCACTCTGCTTGGATTGTATTTGTCTGGAAGGATGTCTGGAATTACTATTCCTGAAACATTCCTCTGAGTAAAATTCCATAAAGAGGTACAAACATTGCCACACAGCAGCTGTAAGCAATTTTCAACAATGCACACTAGAAAACTAAGAAAAAACAACCAGCCTTAATCAATGGTGAAGAAATAAGGCCTTCATGATGAGTTCAGTAGGATGCTAGGTTAGGAAGGCTGAATACTCAGTGTTCAAATTTTCCATACTCTCATTTAATTGCTAGAGTTCACGGTAACAATTCAGTATTGCCAGGTATATGCTTGTTCTTCCATCTTTAAACCTAATCATTAGCAGCATATGATAAAGACCTGTAAGGTCTTTTTTCTTTCTAGATGCAATTACTTGCTCCCTGATTATCCCTCTATTTTGAAAGCAATTAAAAAGACAATAACATTTCTAACAAGTCTCCCTGTTAATGAAGTGAAGTGAATGTTCCTGCAAGACAATTAAAAAGAGGCAAGGTGACCCCATCATACCTGAGCAGAAGTTTTGTTGTGTTTAACTGCAATCTTTTTAATCTTGGGATCTTCCAGAAGAGTAGGGTCCTCTGGTTTGGCCCTATAAAGAGGAAAAGGATAACAAGGGCCTAGTATATTAAGCATGGGAAGGCACCATCCATCATGGATCTCATTGTTCATAAAATTTCTCTCAGAACAGTCAAGTCACGCACATACGCACACCCTACCTCTCCAAACAGAGAAAGGCCACAAATACTCTTACCATGGTCTACTAGGGGAGCCAAGGGGACTGTACGCAGTCACAGTGATTCCTTTGGATTGACAATACTTAATCAGCTTTTCCTGGGTGAGATACGGATGACATTCAATCTGCAAAAACAAAGACAAACCAGCTGACAGAGTGGGAAAACTGTGCTACTAGGAACAAATGTCCTTTGTGTCACCACAATTTGTTTTATTGCAGCAAAAAGGCAACATATGTTTGCAGCTTTAAAGGTTTGGTGCTTTAAAAGAGTTATATTAGAATCGTAGAAAATTAAGCTTGGAAGGGACCTTAGGAGGTCATCTAGTCCAACCCCCTGCTCAAATCAGGACCATCCTGAACTAGATCATTCCAGCCAGGGCTGTGTCAAGCTGGGCTTTAAAAACCTCCAAAGACGGAGATTCCACCACCTCTCTGGGTAACCTGTTCCAGTGCTTCACCACCCTCCTAGCGAGAAAATTTTTCCTAAAATCCAATCTAAACCTCCCTTGCTGCAACTTGTTCTGTCATCTGCCACCACTGAGAACAGTCTAGCTCCATCCTCTTTGGAACCACCCTTCAGGTAGTTGAAAGCTGCTATTAAATCCCCTCTCAGTTTTCCCTTCTGCAGACTAAATAAGCCCAGTTCTCTCAGCCTCTCCTCAGAAGTCTTTTGCCCCAGCCCTTGAACCATGTTTGCTACTCTCCACTGGACTCTCTCCAACTTACCCACATCCTTTCTATAGTGAGGGGCCCAAAACTGGATACAGTACTTCAGATGTGGCCTGACTAGTGCAGAATAGACTGGAATAATTACTTCCCTTGATCTGCTGGCAACGCTTCTACTAATGCAGCCCAGTATGCTGTTAGCCTTCCTGGCAAGGGCACACTGCTGACTCATATCCAGCTTACTGTCCACTGTTATCCCCAGGTACTTTTATGAAGAGCTGCTGCTTAGCCAGTCAGTTCCCAGGCTGTAGCAGTGCATGAGATTCTTCCATCCTAACTGCAGGATTTTTTACCATACAGGTACCCATGCCAAAGTGTGCCTTATGTCACTACTTTGGTATGTGTACCAGTTGGTTGCTCCTTATTGTTGAACCTCCCCTCAAACCTCCCTATTTTTCTGTCACTTGTCTTATCTTCCAGGTGCAGTCTGCAAGGGCCTTGAGACTCCCGAGTCATATTTTTGGCAGCCCAATTGAGCCTGATATTATCTTCCAGGAAGAAAAAGGGAAGGGGAGGAGGGCACTTAGTTAGAAGCAGAAATTTTGTTAAGCTAAGAAAACAGACAGGGAAGGAGGCTTGGTAGAAGCTGAGGCCTTGTTGAATGAAGGTTTTGCTGAAGCCTTAGCAAGATAGGGTCAGTACCACAGGGTCTCTAGTCTATCCAACAAAAGGTACAAAGGAAAAGCCTATATATCAGGCATGGGAACGAATCAATTCATCAACCAGTAATCTAATTGCCATATAACATGGAGGTTACAACACTGTTTCAAAGTACAAGAGTCATTTAATGAAGGTGTGAGCACTTTATGAAAAGGGATTTTCAGGATTCAGAGATCTCCAGGGCTACAAGTCTGGCATAATGAAAACAATGTACAAGAAAGAAGGCAAAAATAGCTTGTAAGCTGAACTGTATGCATCTTATTTAGTAGTGTTCTGGAACTCTTTGGTTTAGGTATCCAGCAGGGTGTGAAAGTATCTATACATCTATACCTTCTGCTATGAAGTATATTGTCCATACCACACAAGCAGTACAAAGTACATGAGAGGTGCCAAGCTGCATTTACTCAACTGACCAATCTCACAAATAGTTCTCCGTTTACTATATTGCTCCTCACACATCACTGCTTTCTTGTGTCCCAAAAGCCTTTTGGTAATTTAGTACAAATGTGTAGCTCAGCCAGTAGATGCATATTCAGCAGAGATCAGTGGAAATCAGCATCTTACCTGGTTATTTACAGGCTTATATTTTAACCCAGGCTTGTTCAAGAGTCTTTCAATCTGTTCATGGTTGAAGTTGGAGATCCCAATGGTTTTCACCAGACCTGCATCTACCAACTCTTCCATAGCCTAATGGATCAAGACAATGCCATCATGTATCTGGTGGTGTTATTACCAGTTTGGCTTTTTTTCTTTTTATTAAGGCAGAATAAACTGTTGGAAATCAAGCCACGTGATCCAATTGTCCCTTCTTACTTAGAGTCTTTGTAGCTGAGTTAGTGCATGGTCCAAGCATGTCCAGTTACCAAGAGTCCATGTGGGGAAGGTGATGTGGGCAGAAAACCTTCTGAATGAGACACACATCTCTCTAAGAGAAAGTTTTCATATATGAAGCACTTTTTGGCTCAGTTTATAGAAGCAGAGGAAATTACAGTTTGATAAGTCTTTCGGGTAGTTTCTGATATGACAAAACAGAGATGAGGAACCCAGACCTTACTTAGCCTTTGTTGGTTACTGACCCCATATCCTTTTACTCTCACTTTGAGTTGTAACATTATTGTATGGAAAAAGAGTTCCCAGACTGCAGGCAAGTAGCTCGTGTCTCTAGCTTGGACCCCAGTAATCATTCCCTTCCTGTCCTACCCACATTCCTAAAACAACAGAATGTACTGTACGTCACACCCAATACGAACTTCACAACTCTGCCAACCTGTTGCTTCTCTTACACTCTGCCAACATATCTTTCATCTATAAGGCTCACTGGCTACAAGCTCTAAGCTCTTCAGAGGCTAGACTGCAACAGGCATTTGCTTCTGGGTCTGCAGATCCAGCTGTAATCTGAGCTGGAAAAGTATGTACCCACAGGCTTAGGGGGCCACCCAACTGGAGCTACCAAAGCCGCTGGAAAAAAGGAACTGTGTTATACAAAACCACTCCATTAACCCATGTCATCTGAGCTGAGGTGGCAGCAGCAGACTTGGAATTATGCCATTCAAAAGGAATATGCAGGACAGGTAGAGACCCTGAATTCCTGGTAATGGAAAATCCCTGTGTGAAGCCCCTTATTGTATACAACAGTTCCCTGTACCTGAATGGGCAGGAGGCTGGAAGCTTAAGGGATTGTCATTCCAATTAGAGGTATGCTGCCAGGGCCAGGCTAACCTGTCTGCCAGATAGACCATGGAATAAGAACCTGGCTCAGTGGTAGCTTTTGAGAGCCTGTTGCTTCAAAAAAACAAGGGGAGGAAGCTACTGGAAGCACAAAGGAGTGAATGTGTAGACCCCCCTCCAAAGTACAGCCTGGCACAGTCTTAATTTGCCCTTGCATACAGATTTCTATTCAGTCTCTAATTCTGACTCAGCAAAATGGAGTGAATATTAACCTACCTCCCATGTGTCCAGAATATCCGTGTTACTGGGGATAACCATACCTTTGTCATCCATTGGATGACTCTCCTCACCAGCCTGGAATTTCAGATCAGAAGAGAGAGATTTGCTTTCAGAACTGAACATTCAGAGTTAGAGTGCCAAAATTCTACAAGTTTGACAGTATTCACAGAATCCAGCTCAACACAGTACTAAATATATACATTATGTTGGATCAATGGTAGCACTCATGTTCTTAACAGCTATACACAAACTTGATTACCTCGTTGAACTGGGAACAGTGTATGGTGATGTGATCTGTGGCAAGGAGATGAGAACTAGTAATCTCTGATCAGGTAATTATTTAATAAATCAAGAGACACGGAAGGATGGAGGAAGAACTCCCCCATTCTTTAGGATAGAATTTTATTCCAGTGAATAAATACAGCTAACTCTGCTACTTCTTCATCTTCTGTTGATACTCAGCCTAGGAAGGGCCAGGGCCACCACAAGTGGAAGAGACACAGCATTATTCCACCTTATAAAGCTCACAACCTATTAAATATGATACACAATTGTACTTTCCTGAGGACCACTCAGGATTTCCATTAACAATGCAATTCTCCCCAGCTGAACAGGTCTAGATGTGGAAGGCCCTACTCCAAACCTATGTTCACACTACAGTAAACTCAGCCTTAACTCTTCCTTTTCCAGGAAGAGGAAGAAAATTGAAGTGACTTCACATTTTTGTTGCAGAAAAGACATAAGCAAATAAAACCAGATACATTTCAAAAAGGAGGCCAATCCCTCCTTGACTGTCTGCAGGATGGTGAGGAGAGAGCACTCTAGGATTCTGTCAGGTCAGGGAGGAGGAAAAAGAACAAGGAGTTACACTACCTTGAAACCCATAGGAAAATGGATAAGGTAGAGGTCCAGGTAATCCAGTTTCAGGTCAGCAAGGGCTTTCTGGCATGCTCCCTTGACCACGGATCTCTCATGAAATGTGCACCACAGCTACAGTGGGAAACATGAATATAATAGTTACTTTCAAACGTCCAGAATCTCTACAACAGGACAGTGGCATGTATCATATACCTTCTGCTTATTTAGCTCATATCAAAGACTTATAAAGGCCCTAAAGTTGTGGTGTCAGATTTAAGCTGTATAGCGCAAATTTGAAAACAATATTGCTGCAAAATGATCAGACTTTACATTTATAATAAGGAACTGTGAGAACAGAGTATAGCGTCCTACCATCTATGTAATACTGAGAGCTGGAAAAAAACTATGCAACTATTTCAACATTTGAGAAAAAGCTTTTCAATATTGATTGTATAGTTTACCTAAGTTCAAAGCCTGAGAAGACTATGGTAATTGTCAGCTTTCATTTGGCAGCTCTGATAAACTCCTCCCCACAAATCCATATATTGCCATGAAGTGAAAGCTAGATTTGGTTGTAATTTGTAATGAAACATTATATTGATGAGCGAATGTTTGAGGTGTGGGTGCTGATGGGGGAGGTTGTCAAAGAGAAGTAAAGCAAATGTTTAGTGGTGGTAAAAATGTCCCAGTTTTTCAATGAAAAAAAAATAAATGCAGACTTTTTTGGTATTTTAATATGTTATAAAAAGTTATCAAGATGCAGTATTCCATTTTAGCTTTCCTTAGTTTTTTAGAATTACTGAGGCACCTAGAAAACCTAGTAATTTTTATTGAAAAAAACTGATTTTTTTTGTTTTGATACAAGTAAAAATTTTCCCACAGAAAACAACTGGCAGCATTGCCATAGCTCTGCTGAAGAGTTTAAGAAAGACTAGAGACACACCACATTTACACTGATATAATTTACACGCATTCTGTATAGCAACGTAAATCATACTAAGAGCTGAAGCAGAGAGATGACCCTGGAAGTCAATGGGTGATGACAACACAGCACTTTGCCATTCAGTGATACAGACAAGGTAATATTATGAGGCGTGGGCAACTGGTGCCTCCTGAGTACGGGGGGGGGGGCACCAGATCACTGACTGGGGGGAGAGGTCCCCCCAGCAGCTGACTGCCGACTGGGGGTGAGGGGGTCCCTTGTGGCCGAGCCCAGATATACCAGCGGCCAGCACTTCTGGTTTTGCAGCTGGTGTTTCCAGAGGGTGCACGGCTAATCTCCGTGTGCACCCCCTACACATGGCCAATGCTATGGGGTGCCTCTAGATGTGTGGGGAGGAGTGTTGCAGCAGACTCAATTAATCTGCTTGATTAATCAAGTCTACTGGAGTGTGCTAATTAGCACACTCCAGAAGTTTCTGCGTCTTCTCTATCAGTGTTCCCACACTTCAAAATGGCTCATTGAACAAGTTTTAAAGCTCCCCCACTGCCATTTTGAAGTGTGGGGACAGATACACAAGACACTGAGGGCACTTTAATTAGCTCTTGGAACCCGTCTAATTAAAGTCTCCACCTCCACTCCACTCCTGGAGCATGGATAAAAATGCCCCGGTTTGCCTACTGCAAGCAGTTAACTTCAGTACATCATGTGCTGTGGGTATGCCATGAGTCTGCAATGCTTAT